CTGTTGTAGGCATGAAAAACCAAAGAATGCTAGGTTACGTAATTCTAATTTAGAATGTTTGTATGACAAAATTTTTAATATGCAAAAAAAACAAAATTTGTCCATTACAAGCCCTCCCCAGGGTTGTAACGATATCTTTAGCCCAGAATGGAGTCAGATTTGCTCTGGTGACTTTCCGGAAGACCTTCAGAACGAATATAGTGGCTATATGTTAGATGATGGCGACCCTTACAGCGTGTTCCAAAGTGATAAAAAGCCACAATTTTATTTGATAGTCTTTCGCAACAAAAGTTTTGCTAAATGTTTTGCACTGGATATTCTCACTTCCCTTACATATAGATGCGTGCAATCATCTGGGGTACCGGTAATGATAAAACTCGCAAACAGTCGCATTACATGCGTGAATTATGCCTTTAAATTGGCCGATGATTTGGTCAGCGCCTGCCTCGCTTCATCTAAGTTTTTAAACGAGCTTTCTGTAATTATCTTTACTGAACAAGAAGAAGCCGTTACTGGTGGAATCATACATAGCGGCAAAAGCTCAAACTTTATTTTGAATATCTGGATAATATTGTTACTGGTGCTGATTTCTATACTTGTTATCTTTCGCTTCAAGTAGTTGTAAAAATGTGTGTACAGATACATTAACAGTTTAGTAAACCCATAGTTAACAGATACAAATACAGATTAAATGCTACAGGTAACAAATAATATTGTTCTATACGAGAACCCATATGAATGATTAGCTCGTTCTGCGAATGGTCTACGAGAATATATATTTCTTATGGGGTCTCAGATGTTTATTTCCAATATACTCTTTCTATGCATTATTAATGGGTGTAGATACGAGTAGATAAAAACTATAATGGAACAGTTATACCTGATATACAAAACTTGCACGTATACACTAATTGAATTAGAAGATATTTTTATACAAATACCATTTTGAAATGGGCCTTGAACTATATCTTATATGTTATGTACGTGATACTCTCCCAGATGACGTCTTATTTTGACAGAGCTCTCTGACCGACTGAAAACACAGTGTGGTGTATTCGTCATCAAGCACATGCCCAAGTATCTCACCGACGGTAGGAAATCTCATCACCCTTATCATAATATCTATATGGGTTGCAGTAGCTGTCAAGGAGGCTGCGGCTGCGCCTTTCATGTGACAGCACAGAGGGTGCACAGAAGTAGCTCTTGTCATGGTTTCTCCCTCTGTCAGGCCCGTGTCATATGGATATATGAGGCCTGCTTGTGCCCCTATCCAACTGTTTTGATGTGTATGAATAATTGCTTTTTAACAGACGCAAAATTATCACCCAATTATTGAGATTGTCAGCAATGAGCCGAGTAAATGTGTTTGCTTAGCGTTTAACTTACCTGCTATTTATTTGCTTTACATTGGAGCCAGATTTGGGTAGCTTATAGAACGAAGCTACAAATTATATTCCAAAAATAAACCAATATAATATTCTCGGAAATGTTCTTCTAGTTGCACTCAGAAAATTCCTCCAGTCCCACTTGAGCCAAATATGGGTACACGGGCAAGCGCCTTGTTTGTCCTGGAATTCCTTCAAGACATTTGATTTGACAGAGCTCCAACTTCCTCTTTTACTTTCTCTGTCTCTCTCTTTTTTCACATTCTCTCACTTGTGTGTGTTCCGCAAAGTTTTGCAACATGTAGCATGTCAGCAAATGTCGTGCGTCGGTTAATTTGCCATCCCTTTGCGTCTTGTCTGCAACTATTTTGCCGCATAACAAAGGAACAAAACGCATTTTTCCTTTGTGCTGCCTCTCAAACAATATTGCAATTTTGTAAATATTGTAAAAATGTTTAAAACACATACACAAGCGACACTCATCGCTCGTTATTTCTCCCTTTATCTGACTCTGACTCTTACCCTTTATGCAAATTAGTTGCAGATATCGCTTACATACCAAATGTTAATTTGCATTTTTATACCCTGAACACATTGAAACTGGGTAATAATGGGTATAAAGGTTTTGTGGAAATGTATGTTACAAGCAGAAAAAAAGCATCGCCGACCCATAAAGTATATATATAATCTGGATTTGGATAACGAGCTGAGTCTGTGAACGACCTCGATCTCGATTTCGGAAACTAAAAGAGCAAGAGACTAAACATTTAATATACACAAGATTATCATTTATATACATATACACCATATAAGACATTTTCCTTAGATAGATACCTTCCGACATTCCCTCTAAAATTGGATAATCTCACTTGCAAAGGTTGCAACTTCGGCTTTGGTATATACACACTTATTTATGCTATATCTAATCAAGAATGCTCTTACCAAACATTATGTGGGTTAAAGGGAAAAAGGTGAACAGCCGCTGCATTCAGAGCTCAGCTTGTGCTTTTGAGGGAGCTAGAATGTTTATAAAGGCATCTTTACGCTGGCCTCAGGGTATCTCCTAGTCGGCCGCTTTTGAGCAGATCCCTCTTACTTGTTATAGTCTGTCATGCTGGCTGAAAAAGGAATTTTTATTTACATTTAAACTTTTACATAGTACTTGTTAACCTTTTGTCTATTAAGCACACACACACACCGGTGTGTGTGTAGCAAAAATTCCCTGAATGTCACCTTATAGCTTTGTGTGCTTAAAAAAGTAAAAGCTGCTTCTATAATACATACTTATTTATGTATGGAGATGTGCCTAGGCTTTGCTGTATGATAAATTAGATGAGCTTTTTGGATATTTGCAGGAATTCCTTTGGGTAACTTTAACTGCGGCGCCTTTAACTCTTTTCACAATGTAAATAGTTTTTTTAAAACTCAATCTAAGTTCCATATATTGCTTAAATTTACCTGCTTGCCGTTGGTGTTTGAGCATTGTAGTTTGTATTTATTATGTCAATCTGTCTTTTTAATTGCGTTGAACACTCAGTTGGCCACAATCCTAATGTACTTGAATGGTGTCGGCACTTTGCCGATGTGTTGTGGCTTTGAAAACTTTGCATTGGCTTTCCCTTTGTTTGTTTGCCGGTTTTCTTTGACTTTAATTAAGTTTTATTATATAAATTTACACATTTGGATAACAGACACACAAACACACACAGACCAGCTTAAATCTTGTAATCATATGCATGTGCTTGTGTGCGTATGAATTTTTAATTAATTCATCTATCAAAGTAAATAATTAAATCAGTAATGTTAATTTGGCAAGCCAGTGACAGCTTAATAATTGAAAAGCTTGAAGAATTCATGATTAGTCAAATTATGCATAGATGATAATTATAAATTGGCTGTATGTTTTGTTTTGCTTGTTCCGAAAAGCATTGAAATATACATATGTATATATATATATTGAATTTGGCTTGTGAACATTTTTATATAACTAAATTATGAATGGTCCAAAAGTTGAGGTGTTTTTTCAATATATAATACAATAATAAAATACATATATATGAGTAGGAGAATAACTTGAATTTGGCATGTGAAAATTTAAAGCTTTGATACGCATTTTAATATAAGCAAATTACGATCTTTTAAGTTCTATTCTGAATACTCCATAAGCCCGGCCTTGCCCGTGGAACGTTTTGTGCTAATCCTTTTAGATATCACCTGTCCGTTAAGCACACGCACGTGGAAAATTGAAATCTTGATCCCCGCTTCCATTTAAAAATATATTTTAACTGCATCGAATAAAGAACTAAGTGCTGGAATCAACGGTTTCCGCCCATGGTAGACTTGCGGTGAGAATCTTGAAGCTGCAGAATTAACTTTCATTTATTAATCCTTTAACCCGCATTTGCCACCCAAGAGCGTATCAATTTAATTCTCACAAAGATTTTTGAAAATGAGTTTGAGGCCGATCGGATTGTGAACAAAAAAGTTGTATACAAACTTTTTTCGCTAAGTCACCACTGTTGTGGGTGGTATTTTCCAAATTGCTGAAACACGAATTCATTAAGTTCTTATGTAGAGCTTTGAAAATTAGTTTGATGCAAATCGGACAAAACTTAAAGTTTCGCCCAAAAATCTTTGAATCGCACTTTCCACCGAGAAAGCTCTGATTTTTCGAAATAAGTGAAACAAGTCTCAAATAATTTTTTTTTATTTAGATCCTTGGAAATGAATTTGAACGCGAAACGTCACCCACAAAATATTTGACCCCCATTTCCACCAACGAGGAATGCGTTTCTTCGAAAAGTGTGAAACACCTCTAAAATGAATTTGAAGGAAGATCATTGAAAATGAGTTTGAGGCCGATCGAATGGTAAACAAAAAAGTTTCATACAAACGTTTTTCGCGATTTTTCCACATATGCGGGTGGAATTTCTCTCTCTCAACGTGCACATTCATCACATAAGTTAACTACAGTGAAAATTTCAGGGGCTGTGCGTTAATCGCCAATCAGTCAGTAAATAAGTAAGTCAGTCAGTTAGAGATAATAATAATATACCTCCGTATGTATGGGAGAATTACTTGAATTAGGCTTGTAAAAATGGTGTTTTGAAACATATTTGAATATAAGCATACTCAGTTTTATTCAAATTCAAGCCCAAATTTCAACTTGAAAAACCTTGAATCACAAATTCTTAAATTCTGAGTCATCTTTAAATATGAACCGAGCCTTGAATGAAATCAGTTGCCCCAAAAACAGCCGAACCGAAAGCTGGTTAAGTTCAAAATGAAATCTGTTGAAAAAGATATCTCTGCCAATTTTAGATAGAGATCAAATTTATCCCGCAATTCCTCTATGAAAGAATGTACGACATGCAATATTTTAAGTAGAACGGGCAATTAAAAATTATGATTTGGCATTTAAATTTGCTTAGCTTTAAGAAATTGTTTATCTAAAAAATGATGTTTAGTGCATGATATTCGATTTAATGTTGTATAAATATAAATATTAGTCAGGTATAAATCTGTTGAAATACATTCTATCAAAAATAATAATAATAATAATAATGCAATTTAGCTAATTAAAATACATTTGAATTTGTGTAGAAACTCGCCTTCATCAGAGCGACGGATATGTGTTCTTAGCATAGTTGGCAGCCACACAATAGTTGGGCGCTCCAAAGAAAGAGCAAACGCCATTGCTACTGCTTGGATTTGGACCAAATCCACCATAGCAATTTGTATAGTTCTGGCAGGAACGCAGCTCAAGTGGTGCAAAGTTCAGAGCGTAGGCGCCAGGAGGAGCACTGTGCGTCAGATTTGGATACTTGTGCATATTGTTGGGCAGCGGAGCAGGCACAAGCTGTGTCGCCGTGTCCAGAAGAGGGCGGCCGATGCTGACGCTGCGCTCATTGCGACGAAACTTGGCGCGGCGATTCTGAAACCAGACCTAAATGTGGGTGATGCATGGTTCAGCTTCAGACGTAGTCGACAATCTAAATAACCTTAGCTTATTTATTATAATAACTCTTCTAGCTTACCTGTACACGCGCCTCACTCAGATGCACCTTGGTAGCTAGCTCCTCTCTGACAAATGCGTCCGGGTAATGGGTTCGCTCGAACACCTTCTCCAGAGCCGTCAGCTGAGCCGAGCTGAAGGTGGTGCGGTTACGTCGCGGCTTTCTTGAGTGCCCCGAGCTAAGATTGTTGGGGTAATCGACGGCGCCGCTGCCTGCAACGGAAGACAATTATGGAACCATTAAAAAAAATCTTTTACTTTTATTGAGTTACGTGGAAATGGTGCAATTTGGATGGCGATGCACGGCTGCCTCATAAATAATCGATAAGAGCGTAGAATAGTATATGGAATTAATTTGGCAGCCAAGGAATTTTGGTTTTATGGTTGTGAACGCATTAAAGTTTGCATACTAGTTGATCCTTTCGTTGGCTTATTGTCATCGCGGAGGTCATAAACAAATGGCATGGGTCATAAAATATATTTTCAACAACATCGCCGCGCCAGCTGTCTACTAATTTTAGGTGCCCAACCGACGGCAAACAAACGCAACAAATTTACGATCTATTAATTAAACTGAAAGTGTGACATTAAACAGCAATAAGCGGGCATCAACTTTCACTAATTGATTCTCAGTTCAGACGTTGGCTAAGAATTTCGGAAAACGTTCTCAGAAATATTACACATATATATTTGGATAAATACACATACATACACACATATGTAGAAACAACAATTCACAAATTTTCTTTTTTCGAAAAAAAAACTGTTCATTTTCCTCAAACATCTCGTAAACATATTTGAGGACTTTAAATACATTATTTAATTTTCCTTAAAATGTTCTGTCTCTTACTTATTCCATCTATGAAGATACACGACCTACGGAACTATTTGAGCATCACCCATATTTCTCATTGCTTAATCATTTTCATATTAGAACTTTATGGCTTACTTAGTAATATTTTGTGCATTCGACTGAGAATCGCGCTATATATACGTATATATATATACATATGTATGTTAATGATAAATTTGAATTGAAACGAGCTGAGAATTTATGATATTATGCGCACGCATGCAAAAAGCAAATGAATGTACATAGATTCATACATAAATTTATACATTCAGCTAGCATGGATACATACGTATGGATGTATGTATGTGATTTATGTAGGTAGTTGCATCTGGCTGCGCATTTCTGTGTGTGTGTGCGTGTGTGCGTGAGGCGAACTCATGCATGTCATCTAGGTGCCATATGTGGGCGACATTCGCTCATTTATGCCGCCGCCAATTGCACATCCAAATGGATGACAGCGTCATCCTTGTGCATTTTTGCTGCTGCTGTGGTTAAGGCTGAGCTGCCGTTTCATATTTGCCCCCTTTAGCCAGCCAGCGACCCAGCGGGCAGGTTGTCAACATTAAAGGCGCTCCTTCTGATGGCGACATGTCGTCTCCTGGCCTGGTTGTAGTCCGTGTTTCGCTTGTCAGCGGCATAATTTTCTATGAAATATACGCGTCTCATTGTCATTGCTGGCAATGGCAATGCTATCAGAAGCGAACAGCTCTCAATCGCTGGCCAGTCACAACGTCTTTTTTGTCCCCTTTTGGCTGCATTTCCGACGGCAGACAACACTTCAACATTGTCAACATGACAAAACGTAATCAAAGCTGACATGATATTCCCTCAGAGGCCGCATGCCTTTGAACAACCGAAGCGCCCAACAACAGCCCGGCCCAGTGACTATATTTTCCAAGTGGAGCATAAAACAAGCCAGCCCTATCCCAGCCAGTCGCAGTCGCAGTTGCAGTTGCAGTAACAGCCCCTATCCCGCGTGTGCTGTAAATGGTTGAGACCAGAGGCGTGTGTTTATTTTTATCATTGCTCGGATTGTAACATGTGCCAGTCTCAGTTGGACTCCCCTTTCTCTTTGCATTTCCCATGGCCATGCCCTTCTGCGTTTGGCGCACAAATCTGATTGAGGTTTCCCTTTCGATTTCGAGATGCTGTGCTTCGTTTTTTATCTTGCCTTCTTTTTATTTTATTAAGCTACAACTGTTTTTTTTTTATCGCTCGTTGCTCGATTCGCTGGCAATTTAAATTAAACATCTCGTTTTACCCCCTACCTCCCTTGGGACCTCATTGGGCACTGCAGTTGTTCTTATGGAGTGCCTGGCATACTACACACAGTTCGCTGCTGATCTACGATGCAATCCCGCGGACAGCTCCGCTGACAAATTGAGACAAATGGCGTGGGTAAAAGATTTGGTTGGGTTAAAAAAAAAAGATTACACGAAATGTATACCACCCTGAAGCAGACGTGGGGTATGTTAAGATAAAAAACTATAAACTGCCTTCAAAATAAGAAAGAAAAAAAAAAGATCGGAAACCTTTGCAACATTCTTAACAATCAGAAAATTATTTTTAAAAAATCGATGGATATAAAATAATTTGGGGAATTTGTTTTCGAAATTATGGAAGCAAGGGAATATAAAATATAAATTATCTATTTTATTAGCGTTGAAACTAGTTTTGAATGTTTAAATGTTGTACGCAACTCCATTATGAAAATATTTACAGTTTACAATAGTTAGGAGGAAGGGCAATTAATAATTCAAAACTGAAATGCTTCATTAACAATTTAAAATATGTGACAAATTAAGTAAACAAGTAAGCCTTGGTGAGACATATTTATAAATCATGAACTAAATCTTCTATATAGCACTGTCTACTATGTGCTTCAGCTAACTCGAACTTGAACTCTAATTATAATTTAATTATGTGGGCAGACTTACCAAAGTTGTTTGGCAGCTCCATGGTCAATTTGCTCTTGCCAAACGCATCCTGCTTTAGTTCAATGAGATTGTCCACTGAGAAACGATGCATTTTGTCAAGTTCTCTGCGATTTGCAATGTCCTTGTCCTTGGCATAGCCTTCCTGGTGCAGCTTCTGTTCCAGCTCCACAGGTTGTGCTTGTGCGGCATATGCAGCATCCACGGATGGTAAGGTGCGAGCTGCAGACGCTCCGGATCCGGGTGCGGATGCAGTGGACGCCACCGACGGCATTGTCGTTGCGGCATAATAGAAATTGCCGGCATTGCCGACGGGTATGGAATGCAGTTGCTGCTGATAGTTTAACATGGTTGGCAAATTAAATTCAAAACTTGTTAAATCACTTGATCAATCACTGCTTTGGCTAATTGGGCAAATGCTACACCGGTGACAATGATGATGATAATGCTGATGATGATGAGAGCAGAGGAGTGGCTACACAATTCAATTAGGCGTGCGAATTGTGCGAATAAGACCCTTGAAAATTCTTCATTTGTCTGTCTAATTGGCTGCTGATTGAATTAATTTATTTTCTTTTCTTTGCACTGCATCATCGGGGGCATCCTGCCGCGAACTTGGATAATTGGATTAGCACACAACACATAAACGAGTTAATTACAATAATTGTCGCGACGATACTAAACCGTGCCAAAGTCGTGTGCCCACTGAAATTAGCCTCAAGATGCGAGCGGTCTCCTCAATTCCTCGAGATCCATACACACATATGTTTTCACTTTCTTGGCGATGAGCATCTCAAGTATGTTTGCTCTCGTTCTCTCGCACGATCTGCTAATTATAGCCGCCATCTGCCATTGGCTGATCCAACCAGATCAGCGCCTGAATCCGACATTTTGGTGGGCGTTGCTACTGGGAAACTCATATGAAATACGAGGTGAAAAGTAGCAACAAGTTTTGGGGCATTTAAGTAGCAATAAATACCAATTAGTGGGCAGTAGCTGCTGGTACCGCCCGCGGCTCTACAATTGTCCTTGTTGGGCATCTGTTGTTGGTGTAGTTGTTGTTGTTGTCGCTTGTTTGTGTTCCATTTTCGCAGGATGCGTTGCACCATGTTCTTGAATTTCGTGCCCGGCATAAATCTTGGTACCCACAACGTTTGTCATTCTTGTGAACTAATTTCCATAACCACAACATGATGCTAATGTCTCAAGCCATTGCCCAGGCATGTTGCATATGTGGCAGCGAGTGAAACGTAGGCGGAACTGCCAGTTAAGTGCATTATGCGGCTGTTGTCGGGTCTCAATTGCAGTTGACAGAGTTCTGTTTGCCTGAAGGTGCATCTATTTGCTGCATGATAATTGATTTCGATGATATGTGATCAACATTTACAATGCTGTTTATGAGAAGTTTGCCTAGTTTGTTGGGGTTAGAGAGTCAGACGAGGTAGAACCTATTTCCGTTATACAATTCTTGCATTTATAAGCTCGGTTACTTAATCTACGAGCCAGTGATTAACAGTCAGCTCTTTAACATACATTTGCTCATTAGATGCCAGCATGGGGCTGCAAACTACTATCCGAAATTCTAATATTTCTAACATGGCCGCATGGAATTCACTCCTCATACGTTTCGCTTCCCTTAAATTGAGCTGTCACAAAAGTTTATCCAAAGTACTTGACACTCTACTGCGGTAAGCATGGCACCTACTGCCTGCCCACGAAGGCCAGGCTCCAGCTCAAGCTCAGGCTTGCCAAATTATCTCACGTTTTCGTGTGCAAAGTTCTTGAGGAATGTTGCGGTGTGTATTTTTAATAAAACTTCAAAGTTTTGCGCTACTTGCGCTACGCTTTACAATGTCTCTCCGACGTTTTTCTTCAGTTTCAGTTTTGAAATTCTTTGTCACGAAACATTTCTCGCGTGCAACTGAAAGAAGTTGGGCAGGGCAAGGGGTTTTCTCATCCATGTCTTGGCCCAAGTAATACGTCTTACCTGAACACACACACACGCACACCAATAAAAACAAAAACAAACAGACACACACACAAAAAGAGAAATTCTTCTGGCAAGTTAGAAATTTGAGCAGACACTTTTAATGCTGTCAGATAGCAGAAAGTAACTGCACTTGGCATGGGCACAGGTAAGTATGGGTAAGTCGGAATGTTTCAGACAACGGACAGGCATCTCAATAATATAGTGGAATGCTCATGATGTTGAATTATATGGCAAGGGGCAATCATTTATGTATATGGCAAATATGCATAGAAATTTCATTCAAATTTATGCAAAAAGAATTGTGGTTGTCTTGCCCAAAAGTATGCAAGAAGTAGAGTTTTTCTATAATTTACTAAACGAAAATTTCCATTTCTGCTGCCGGCTGATTATTTTGAGAGGCACTTACTATTATTGAATGCACTTTTTGCTTTTGATATAAAAATAACATCAGATAAGTTTGCATTCAAGAAAGGCACATGCTAAACTTCAAGACTTTCTTTTGAAATACCACAAATTAAGAAATTTCTGAAAGTTCAACCCATCTAACATGTAATTATTATTCTTGCGATCAAATACATTTAATTGTGAAAGTTTCCATCAAATTATTCACATTTCACAAGTCGACACATGTTTTAAAATTTTCATAAATACTCCATTATGGCGAGTGGGGCGATGAGGTGTAGTAATAGAGGGGACTGCCACTGGCCATTGTGACCAAAACCACATTGTGGTGTTTTTCGTGTTGTGCGGTTATGGGGCATGCAACATGGCAAAATAAATTGCACTTCACGAACAAACTGCATGTAGAGATGTGTGACAACAGATACGACGACGAGAATCATGCAACACGTTGAGCCCCAAGCAAAATGCTAATTAAAATTCCGCTCAAGAGTGAGCGAGATGACAACAGTGGGTTACCTGGGAACAATACGAGTACCAAAAGCAAAACCAATACCAATACCAATCTCAATATAGCTGCACAACGACATCGATTTGCATAAAATTAAACAAAATGGCACATTTTCAATTTTGGTCACAAGGAATCACAGCAGAAAGGAATTCAAGCGATAAATATTCAATGGCCGTTGACGAACACTGCCTGATGGAGAAGGAGTAGGGGAAGGGGGGAGAAGAAGAAGGCTACAGCCTGTTGCCCATAAATGTCCAAGCGGTGGTTCACAGCTTCAAATGCCAGGGCCTGCACTCATAAATTATGCAAGCGATTTTAAAATTGAACTTTCTGCCCAGTTTTCCCCTCAGCTTTTCTCTGTTCCACATGGACAGATTGGAAAGACTGAGACCAAAAAGGCTTGCTGACCCAACTCAGAAGGCTTCCGAAAATCACGTTATGCGTTTGTATGTGTGTGTGTGTGTCTGTGTGTGTCTGGCTAACCAAATGGACATGTGACCGGTGAAGGGGGGGGAGGGGGTCGGCGACTCTTAACATGCTTTTAAAACTTGCTCCTTCCGTGGGGACTGAAACATTCATGTGCTTTATATACTTGCCCGGCCTATGTCACAATAAAAGTCAAAAAGCTTTTCGTGCCGTAATTAATGTAAATCCCCGCACCCGAAATGCGTGCGTTGCAGCTGCAGGCCGCCAGTGGGCGCCATAGTGTATGCACTTGTAATTGATTTTCTGTTTACGCACTCACAGTATGGCTGATGTCTGTGTGCGTGTACATGTGTGTTTGTGTGTGTGGTATGTCAAACAGCACGCTTCCTGTGTGCTGCTTCCGGTTATTTCTTGTTATTATATTTCATTGCCTTCGTCGTCTCTGTAGCATTCGCATAGCAAAAACAAAAAACTTTTCATTGAAAAGGCGCAGAGCAAGTTTTCTGATATAAATGAGATTGTTACAGATGGGGATGGGATTGTAAAGAGGTGGGGAGGGGGGGAGGGGGTGTAGTGGCTTCTTGGTAGTGGGGCACATGCCAACACTTGTTTTCTGTTAAGTGATTTAGGCAAAAGTTTTTACCCTTCGCTACCCGCTGGCTGCTGTCAGCCAGCGTTTCGTTTTGGCATTCGTGTTTGGCATTTTGGTTAGACGACACGCTCGACATGAAGCATGGTATGAGCGGTATGGGAAATGAGGAATGGAAAACGCTGCGGTGTGTAGCTGCTGGGTGGCGGTTTTTTGAAATATCGGAAATGTTTTACAAAACTTTTGCCAGCTATAACTTGGTTCACTGAATGGCTGCCACATAATCGCCGTCAAGTGAAATACATTTTCTTGACAAACAACATGAACTTCAAAGACCACGTCTCCCGATGGCCTTAGATTACCCCGCGGTAGTCCGCAGTTCCATTTTCAGTTGACGTGCTTGTTGCTGTCTCTTCCGACAAGGAAATTGAAATGCTACGTGTGTGTGCTACATTTACACCTTGCGGGGCGTGGCTTTGCTTATTAATTGTGGCTGCAAATTGATTTAACCGTCAAATTAGAGCTAGTTGCTGTACGTGCCTGGTCTAGTATATAGCTCGCTTAAGTCCTTAAATCTCTTGAGTATCATATTCTATGGTATTGTAAAATAATTGAGCATATTTCTATGTTCATTCGTTTAATTGCTGCATATTTGTTTGTCGATAGTAAAATCAAAATCTCTGCTGCTGTTATTGCCATGTCATTTGTTGATTGCAAATTTCCAATCAATTTGTATCCTGTACTACGTTTTGTTGTACCCAATATTTCTCAAAATGGGCAAAAGGAGTGAGTGTGTGTAGGAGGCAGATAGACACAAAATTTCTACAATCACCTATTTAAAAAAACAAGGTTTCAACTCGGTTTTGAACCCGGAATTCAATTTATATTTTATTTCACTATGAACTGAATCAGGCTAACTGTCCCAAAAACAGCTTATCTGAAACTTGTATCGATCCGTATCTTTTCTAAGATGGTTTGATTAATAAATTAAAACTTTTGAGGATGATACTCCACACCAAAGCAATTGGATATATCAAACCATACTTGGCAAAAGCCCATATTGGGCCATTATCAAGTCTAGCCCGCAAGTTATTTTTTAAAATATCTACGACTTACAATACTTTTAGTAGAACGGGCAGTTGTAAATAAATATTTAATTGTTTCATTATCATCAGATATAACTTTTTCGACCATTGGCATGTGATTACGGGGTATCTGCTAGTAAATTCTTCTCTAGTATATAACTTTTACTTGTTTTTCTTACCGTTTGGTGTCCTTTTCGTCAGCTCAGCTCAGCTCAACTCAGTCAGCTGCATAGTCAGCGCCATTTAAATTTCGCTCACGTTTGCTGGCGAATGAACTGCAGCAAAAGAAATAACGCGAATGAAAATTCAACGGATGCGGATGTGTGGCTCCCAAACCAGGGGCTCTGACTGCCACTAGTTGCTGGTAACTGCAACGATTGCAATCAGATGCAATTAGAGCGCCAATCCCTATCACGGGTAAAGAAAAACATAAAGGCGTCGAAGAAATGATAGTGAATTTGAATTTATAAGAAAAAAGTGAAAGTGATTTTTAGTTTTAGCTCTGCTCAGCGCTATTCGAATTCGGGTCAAGTATTCGGATGAGTGCTTATGGTGAGGGTGAAATATTGCTCACAAACATGAGTGTTGACAAAATGCAATTATTTTAATGTGCAGCATTTCACATGATTAATTTGCCTATTGATGTTAGATTCGAGTGGGCTGACGAGTACTAGAATGCCCATACGATAAGCCTTTTGACTCTGTCCCATAGCCCACTTGTCTGCCAGGCGAACGGCACTGAATCAAAGAACAGGTTTTTGTCATTCTGCTTGATTTATTTTGAGTGTGCAGCACTAAGATCTTTTTCAAAACAAGTATGTTTCGGCATTGTTTGCTTAGATCTTTTCCAGTACACTTCAATCTTAAATGATTTTCAATGTGAATTAAGTGAGTAGAAGTAAAGAATTTATTAAATTAAAATTTGCCTGCGTCAAAATAAGTGCTTTGGAATTGTCTGGATAGCTGTTCATTTCAACACTCAGTTATGTATCGAATTTCCGTCGTATAAGCTGGCATAAAATGACATTTCACCTACACTTCCAATATGAAGTCCTTTCTTAAAGTTATGAAGCCCGGATGAAAGAGAGAGAAATAACCTTGCTATCCTTCTCTCACTCTCTCACGCATTCTCCTACTCACGTCCACTCTCACTCCCCTGCTGTAGGCAGTACCTTTAGTTTATGAAAATCGCAGGGAAGTCATCTTAAAAGAAGGCGTTGCTTTTAAATTTGCGTCTAAGCTTGGCCGGAACAAACGAATTATTTTAATGGTCTGTTCATTCTTGCATTGTGGAGTCGATATGCAAACAATTCAAATCCAGGTGCACTTCAAAGTGCTGCTGCTGTCCGCATTGAAATTGAAATCCCCGATGGTTGAAACTCAAGATATCGACATCGTTATTTTATACCCACTCAATGCAGTGCTAGGTAACCATGCATTTAATGCTGCCCGCAAACTAATGAGTAGGCGTGGCAGCATTACCAAAAATTCCTACTTTAACCAGCTCAGCAGCGCATAAATCAAAATGCAGCAACTTTGTTGTTGCTCGGTTTTCTTCTTATATGGGTGGGAATATTTCATGTGCAGCGCTTAGTGAAAGCCATGCCCACCAAGGATTAGGCCAGGATGATATACGTTCCGCGCGCGTGAGCAGATTCCGCATCCAGCTTTACGCCATAAAGGTAAAGGTATTTCGACTCGCCCCCTTGCCTTTTTATGACAACGCCCGTCAAGCTGTCCTCCATTGCCGTTTCGGCGAGGGCACTCGCTGGCGTTGATTGTGTGACGCCAGTGCCGCATAAAGTCAGCGCCAGGTGGCGCCAATCTCGGTATGAGTGTGTGTGTGTGGGCGTGCATGTATGTATCTGCAGGTGTCTCTACATTAAAAGCCATAAAAGATTCATAAAATGCATTTCGCACGCCGAAACCAAATATGCCGCAACATTCACGACGCCACATCCATAAATACGAGCCCATATAGTACGGTAGCAAGCACCCGTACAGCCCTGAACACAGACATAAATTTTAAAGTTTGTAATGTGCAGGTGTTCATAAAAAGTATTTACGAGCGACGGCTTGTACCGATGTAAGGCGCAGATACTTGTATGCGCGGTTCTTAAGAGGCTTTCCCCTATGATGGCCAGTTGCATGGCAACCCTAATGAAAACGCTAAGAGCACCAAATAGCCTACCTTTCTTAATGCACACGTTAACTGAACTATAATATAAGCTTTGAAAACTTTAATGCGCTAAGAGAAATCGGCAGGGAAAACTTTATCACGTACGCGACATTTGGCAATTGCTGAAAATTGTGCACAAATTATATCAATTTCGAAACGTAATCATTGGATCTTATCAATTTTCTCGGCACCCCACGCCTATCCTGGCACAGACATATCCGGCCAGACGGAGACGTTACAAAATGTGAAAATCAAATATTTATGATACTTTTGAGCAAAATTTCTGGCCTTCGGCAAAAGCAAACTACAAATTTTCTTTTGACGCCATGTCTGTCGTATTTCTTTTTTCGCCCTCCTCCAGCTTGTACGTTGTATCCACGTTTTTGCCTTCGGATTTATGTGCGTGCCTTTTGGAAATTCAATTTAATTTTCAGTTTTTCTAGCACGGGCCATGAGATTTCCAATGCATTGCCGCGAATGCGCACCGGGTCGCGATTGCCTCGCATATTTTTTATGAGTATGATTTGAAATTCGAAGGCCTGCGCATTCAGTCAGTTGTAAATGTTTCCGAGAACTGCGGATTATGCCAAACCTATTACATTTTGATAATACAAACGGCCCAAGCTTAGCAGCTCTACCAAATCTGGTAACTAAAGTACATACATATTTTGAGGTATTAATGTTATACTTGCAATTCTGTGAATTCCAGTAATAATTTCTGCTTTGTAGGTTTTAGGGCTTACGATCACCAATCAGTCAGGACAAACAGTTTCATATATAAAATGAGTGTTTTTTCTTTTTAGAGCGCTGAACTGTTTGTTTACTTATTTTGACATCCGCAGCAGTGCAAATAAGTACATTTGCATATCTAGCTATCTGTTTGCCAGTATTGATTACAAAGATAAGGCAAACGTTATCCAACCAGCTACAAGCCAATTTGACACTCTAAGCCCGATGCATGGAGGCAAAGAAAAGCAACTTCGTCTGACCGCTTCATGTAAAGCATTTGTACATATTATTACAATCGGGCCAGTTTACGGGACATGGTACTCGGATACTTTGGATACACATAGATAAGCCCCAATTGAAGTTGCATTTGCCACTTGAACGATGCACGCATCCAACACCAGCCGCATACCCCTCAAACAAGTGTTGGATGGGAACCACTCAGTGTGCTGGTTGTTGTCCTTGTCGTGCTGTTGGTTTTGGGCTCTGGCTCTGGGTCTAGGTCTGGCTCTGGCTTCCAGCTGAAGATGCTGCAATGCATTATGCTAAAATGTCATTGCGTGCTTATTGGCGTTACGCCCGTCTGTCTACCAGTTGGCAATGCATATTGCCTTCCGGATGAAACAGCGACTTATGCTAAACTGACAGCCAGCAGCAGCAGTCCTGCCACTGCCGGAATGCTCGTGCAAAATTGAATGGAAGCTCGTTTATTTTGTTGCCATTTGCCATTTGTGGCAAGGAATTGACGCTCTATCGAGAGACGCTGCGACAGGATTTGTCAGTGTCGTTGGGCGAGGACAAGTTGCACAAGTTATAAATGCCCGGCAATCGCAACACAAAGGATTCCCGCCAAAGGCATTACCATTACCACAACCTCAACCACAACCATTTCCGTGACCGTATACAGATGCCAGCCACTGTATGAAATGGCTATTATCGGTTCGCTTGCTCGCAATTACACATGCCATTGACACAGATACCGTATATAGTCTGGTATCATATGATCTGGGCGTCTCCTTCATTCTGGTGCGCTCACTCATTATTTTGTTTATTTTTCCGTGTTTCGTGTCTCGCAGAGACACCAAAGGAGGACACTGGCCCTGGGTCCAACTACAAAACTCAGACATGGCCCAACTTCAAGCTGTGTGTCTGCCTGTCCAAAGAATATTGTGTTTTCTTTTGTTGCCTGTCTCTTAAATTGCTCAGAGCTTCGTTTTGGTCACATAGAAAACATGTAGCTACACTCTACTCACACACAGGTCGATTAAATCACTTTTAAAGCGATAGCTTTAAGCGACCTTTTACCAATCTTATGTGCTTAAATGGAAACACTATCGTGAAATTGTAGGTTGTGTATTAAAGTAGTCTGATTGTTGAACTCATGATTGGAAGAAACTAGCATTAAATGTTTTTCAGCTTAAGTCTTGTATGGTACTTGTATATAAATACCAGTATAAATTACCCGGTTCCCCGGTTACCCGGTTCCGATTTGGTATTTAGATATTTTAATTATTACAGGTAACACTTATTCATTTTCAATTTCCTGATTTGTTCAAAGTCTGTTATTATTGAAAATTGTTGTTGTATTTGAGGTTGCGACCTGTCGCTTATTAGTTCCACTCCACCTATTTATATAGTTATATATAAATATAAGAGCATTTTGAGATTTTAAATTACTCTCTAGGGTTTTTCATGTCGTACTGAATGAGTACCAATAAGTTGGTTACTAGTGAGTTGGCCATCAACATAGATCTCGATCGGTCCATATTGAAGAGGTTTAGCAAAGAGATCTTTAAAGGATTGCGCGTGATCTGAAGCTGAAAGCTCTCGATCTGTAAGTAATTTAAAAATGTTTCATTTTCACCATTATACGTTAGCTGCACTTACGACCGCCTGTAGTCTCTCGTCTAAGGCCGGAGAAAACATTATAAGCCGCTCCAGCAGTTTCACCATATATGCATGGACCTCCAGGACAAAGTAGACGTTGTTGAGGGTAATCAAAATGTCCGCAAAGTAGCAGACGATATTTAAGACAAACAGCAGAATATACAATGGGGTCCATTCCACACCACGAATTTTCTTAACGGAGGAGAACGAAAAATAGATTGTGGCGAGTATTGATATGTAGCTATTGATGGTTATAACGATGCCCTGTATTCCAAAAATCTTGGTTATGTGTTCGAGAAGCGTTTGTACTTCGTATTGTGTTCCGGCAATCACCTCCAGCCGGTCTGCAAAGGTGCAGCATTTAATCATGAATGCAGCTTTACGATGTTCCCCCTCTAGGGACCTGATCTCGACAAGCACCTCGTGCAGCTCTTGATTGAGTAGAATATAGTGGCTGTGGACATTCACTATTGCAAAGTAATAGTGAGATATAATGACATTGACAAGTACTGTAAGAGTATATAGCACGAATATGCTAGAGGCCAAGTTCACAGTAAGGTAAGGCCGCAATGATAAAAAGCTTACTAATATTTGTAGAAATTCCGACAGACTTATGCTGATAAATTTCAGAATAACTCCCCGTCGCCACATTCTCATCACTTGTGGCTTCCGAATCGCGAGACCTCGAAAGGCGTTTACAAGCCGAATGAGCCGGCGGCGCTGCCACCAACGATTGAACATGGTGGCCATCACGCAGCTGACTCTTGTGCCATGGACGAGCAGAAATAGATACTCGTGGAGGCGGCCGGCATGTGACCACAACGTTTGTATTAGGTCACTGCGACTTAGGAGAATAAGAAGAGCGAAAATCAGTATATTTATAAGGACTGCATAGATCGATGCTCGTTTTGTAAGGCGCGCGTGACCTGTCCGCATGTCGATCTCAAAGTTAATCACACCAAGAAACCTCGAGTAATAATAGGATATACGCAAAATCCACTGCACTGGGTCGAGCATATTGAAAGACTAAACTATATTTCAATTCCCATTAGGCAGAGGGTCCAATGACAATGACATGTATTTGATGATTGTTAATCTATGGATTAACTGATATGACGTACCCATTGGAAATATGACTAATTACAAAACAAAAGAGAAAGAAGGGCTATCTTTGGCACGCCGAAGATTTAATACCCTTGCAGACCTAACCTCTGCATAACTCTTATAGTGGTTTGCCCAAATCTAAGAAGCATAGGGAAAATAGTTAATGCCGAGTATGGTTAAGATATCTTGATAAACAAAAAAATTGTCCATACAACAACTTAATTTTCGAATAATCGTTCCTATGCTAGCTATATGATATATTAGTCCGATGTTGATAGAATTTTGCAAATATATGAGGAGCATAGTAAAACTAATAAATGCCGAGTATCTTGACCAAATATCTTAATAAACAAAATGGTTTTTCATAGAAGAACCTACTTTTCGACCGATCATTCCTATGGCAGCTATATGATATAGTGGTCCGATCCAGCTGGTTCCGACACTGCGTGCAACAGAAAGAAGCACTTCTGCAAAGTTTCATAAAGATAGCTTTAAAGCTTAGAGACTAGTTCGCATAGAAACAGACAGACGGAAAGACGGACAAGGCTTTATCGACTCGGCTGTTGATACTGATCAAGAATTTATATACTTTATGGGGTCGGATATGTTTCCTTCTTTGCGTTACACATTTCACGACAAAATTATAATACCCTCTGCAAGGGGACATAAAGAATGCCTATAATCAACACGCCCACAAACAATAAGAAGCATGTGCATATAAATCGACGCTCTGAACAAGAACCAGCGAATTAGTAACTATAGAGCTGGCCATATATATAACATTGGTTCGATTCAAATTGAAGAGATGAGGAGACATAGTTTGAAAGCAAAATATAATTTGTATTATGTACAGATTGTATCTAACTATGTGTACTCACGACTGTGTCCAGTCGCTTGTCTAGTCCCAGAGTAATCGCTGAGTCTGTTCCAGTACACTTACCATTTCGACGTGGTCAACTTTAATAACGTATAGTTATACAGTTATATAGTTATACAGTATAATGAAGGGCTATAAGAATGTTAGCAAAGGAAAAGCTGAGCTGCAAAATAAGCAATACGATAACCAAGGGACTCCGGGCTATACCCTTGCTCTGATTGATGCTAGCTAAGGTAATATAGATAGTGGCAATTACGGTTATATTACCATTGCTGACTACGCAGATACCCGTATGTCAAATATACGAGCTGTGCGTTCGACAAGCCTATTGAGTTCCGATTGAGTTCTGGCTATATCCACCAATCGGTCGGCAAGGGAACATTCGCTATTCCCGCATGAATCGTTTTGATATTCACGCGATTAAACCAGCACTTCCTGAATTTCCTGAAGCAGAATATAGTGGTAATGAACATTTAGCATTACAAGGTAAAACTGCGAGACTATCACATTGAACAGCGCTGTCAGCATGTACAATTAAATAATGTTACGGGCTAAGTTAAGCGACAGATATGCTCGCAGCGTTACAAAGCTCATTGCAATTTGAAAAAACTCCGAGAACAGAATGCTTATAAGTTAAATAATAACTCGATGTCGCCATATTTTTGGGACCTCTGGTTTCCGATTGGCCAATAAACGAAATCCGTTAACTAGATGAATGAGTTGGTGGCGCTGTCACCAGCGACTGAGCAGCGTGGACAACATCGATCTCAAAGTCAATGACGCCAAGAAGTCGCGAAAAGACGAATACCATACGCAAGATCAACTGCACTGGCTCAAACATATTGCAGAACTAAACAGAGCTTCAATTCCCATTGGCACGACGGTCTCATTAAAATGCATTGCATTTGATGCGATGGCCCGATAGTCTGATATGACATACCCAATAAAATTAAAGCTAATTACAAAATGGAATCCTTATAATGAATAACTGAACATGTGAAACAGTCCATAGGCGGCATTGGTCAAACTCAGTCCTACAACGGGAAATATATATTAATTAGTATAGGTATTCACAGATCCCTAAAGTAGCCTTTTATATATTCGCCCATTTGTAAAGTAATATAATACATTTTGTTCCAGCACAACTGCCCGAATCTACGTTAATCAGCTTTGCGAATATTCCAAGTATAACTAACAAATGAGTTCGGTTAACAAAATAGTATATGTACAAGTTCGATAGTATTACAACACAATAAATATATTTTAACTATTTTGCATTTCGTATTGAACCAACACCAGAGAATTGCTTACTATTGAGCTGGCTATAGCAACAGCTTTTGCTCGCTCCACTTTATAGAGATGAAAGAGGCAGACCTGTAAGGGGTTCCGCGCAAGCTGAAGCTGAAAACTTTCGTACTGAAATAAAAAACCTATTAAATTAACAAATTCGAAATATATTCTATTAACTGCAGTTACCACCATCTCCAATCGCTCATCTAAGCCCGGAGCAAGCGTTGAGAACTGCGCCAGCAGGGTGACCATTTCCGCATGGACATCCAGGACAATGTATAGATTGTCCATGGTGACCAGAATATCCACAAAGTAGAAGGCGACTTCAAACAAGAATAGTACGCTTGAGAAGCTCCAGTTTAAGGAACAGTTGGTCCATGTGAGGCCGACAAAGGTAAAGTATATGGTAGCAATCATGGAAAGGTACATAATGGCGGTTATACAGAGACCCTGAATGTCAAAAATACGGGCTGAACGTTGTAGAAGCGTTTGCAATTCAGACTGCGTCCTGGCTATATCCTCCAGCTGGTCGGCTAGAGCGCAGCATTTAATCATGCGAGTAGCCCTTCGATGTTCACCCTCAAGGGAACGGATCTCGCTGAGCACTGCCTGTATCTCCTGGTTGAGCAGGATGTAATGGCAATGCACATTCACATTTATAAAGTAAAAATGCGAGATTATCACATTTACCAGTGCTGTCATTGCATACAACATAAGAATGCTAAAGGTCAACTTAAGAGTCAGATATGTTCGCATCGGATAAAAGCTTATTGCTACTTGAGATATCTCCGATAGGAAAACGCTCATAAATTTTAAAATAACTCTGCGACGGCACATTCTCATAACTTGTGGTCTTCGAAATGCCAAGCGACTAAAGGCGTTTACCAGGTGAATGAGCCGACCGCGCTGCCACCAGCGACTGCATAAAGTTATCACAAGGCAGCTGACTCGCGTGACATGGATTACCAGGAAGAGATACTCGTGGAGCAGTCCGGCATGTGACCACATCGTTTGCACCAGATTACTGAGACTCAAAAATGGTAATATGCTCAGAATCGAACCATTCACCACACCTGCATATATCGATGCACGTCTCGTGACGCTCGCCCGACCGGTTTTCATATCAATCTCAAAGTTGATTACGCCAAGAAGCCGCGAATAAAAGTACACCATGCGCAATATCCACTTTACGGGTTCAAACATTTCGAAGCACTAAATGAAATTCCAATTTCAATTGGTGGGACAGTCGACTGCAAATACATAGCATTTGACGCGATTGATAGATTGTTTGATAAGATGACCTCAAAGAAATGGTAACTAATTTCAAAATGGAAAAACAATCAAAAACAACTAGCTGCTTTCACTTGAAATATTTATTGAATGCAGAACGAAGAGTAATTAGTGCACAAGAAAGTCTATTTATTAAAAACTATTTGTCTTGACTGACTGATTGCCTTAAGAGCTGGGAAGTAGACATTTTAACTGTAGTTAGCTTATGTAATGAAGATATTTCAGCAAATTCCATCCGCAAATGTGGAAAAATCGCGGAAAATAAATGTATGTATGTATTCAACAAAACAACTGGGCCCAAATAAGTCCGGGAAATACTCGTAAGTAATAGTATAAAATATGTAGTTTTCTTTATTTAAATTAATATAAATAGGCATTTTTTAAATCATTTTGAATCAGAACCAGAGAGCTGGTTACTACTGAGCTGGCCAAAGTAACTGCGTTCGATTTCTCCATGTCATAGAGCCCCAGAACTGAGAACTTTAAAGGATTCCATGCCAGTTGCAGCTGAAAGCTGTCGAACTAAAAAGTAAAAGTTGTCTAGGCTGAATACCAATTTAATTATTTTATGTGAGATTCTCTTACAACAGCCGCCAGTCGCTCATCTAGGCCCGGGGCAAAAAGAGTGTGCTGAGAGAGCAGCTTCACCATCTCAGCATGTGCATCCAGTAGAGCGTAGATAATATTCACGGATATATGAATATCTGTAAAGTAGCATATAAATCCGCAGCCAAGCAAAGCCAAGACCCATTTGCTCCAGTTTAAACGGATGGCACCCGTCAACTCGGAAAATCCGAGGTAGATCATGGAGACGCCCGACATATAATAACTTATAGTCAATAGCAAGGCCTGCAGTCCAAAGCAGTTTGTTAAATGCTGGATCAATATTTGCAGCTGAAATTGTGTGTTGCCAATGGCCTCTAGCCTATCGGCCAAAGAACAGCACTTAATAATGAACACACCCTTCCGGCACTCGGACTCTAGAGAGCGGGTCTCAGCCAGTACAGCGCGCAGCTCCCTATTGATCAGGATATATTGACCGTACACATTGAGCAGAGCGAAGTAATAATGGGAGATAATGATATTGACAAGCGCTGAGATTGCGTAAAAAATCATGACGCTGAAGCTCAACTGAATTGTAAGCTTCTCCCAAATAAGTAGCAGACTAGCTGCCATTTGCAACAAATCCGAGAGAATAACGCTCATAAATTTGCTAATAACTCCGCGTCGCCACATTCTCATCACGTGAGGTTTCTGTTGAGTCAGATGGTGTAATGAGTTCACAAGGCGAACGAATCGCCGGCGCTGGGACCAACGGCTGATCAGTGTCACAGACACACAAAGGATACGCCCACTTAGCATGACCAGGAACATGTAGTCGTGTAGTAGTTCAGCCTGAGACCAGAACGAATGAATTACATGCGTTCCACTCAACCAGGGGAGGCCACAAATGCAAATCACATTCACGCAAGCAGCATAGATCGAAGTCCGTTTGGTGATGCGCGCCCGACCCGTTCGTAAATCGATCTCAAAGTTAAGAACACCTACGAGCAGCGCATAATAGTAACTGACTCGCAGCAGAAACCTGACGAGCTCAAACATGGTATAACACTAAAATACTAAAACTCTCAACGTCTAATGGCAGTGCGTCTCTTCTGATATTATGAACGGATTGGGCTAACCATGCGTTCCTAATGAGTCCTTCATATTTTTGATATATTTTAGTATATATAGCTTCGTTTTCATGCATATGACAAAGGCATTAATTCACATATATTCAAAGACCTTATGTTATCTTTGATCCCCTAACAGGTTGAGGTTGTCGTTATCTACGGGCACATCCTTTCGCATTTCGACAATAATTTGGCTGTCATTAATTACAGTGTGGGCCGTACATTTTCCATGTCATATATGCGACAGTAACTTTGTCAGAAACCTTTTTTCATCACACCGAGACGCACACACACTCGCATATTCCTTTGATTTGAGGCTTTCGTCGGCCATTTTGTGCCATCTTTGTACGTGTATTTTGCCATTTCCGCCTCGTCGTTGCGGTATTTCCGTTCATTTTTCACATATTTTACAGCATTGAAACTTTGCTCATGTGTGTAAGTATTGCGCCAAGTGCCTGGCAAATGAAAACTTTCTGTGCTTTTCCCAGCTGTTCTTTTCTTTTCTTTTCCTTTCATTTCTTTGCAATTCATTTTTCATGTTGCCGTCGCCGTCGTCGTTGCCATCGTCGTCTTTGTCGTTGTCGTTGTCGCTGGCTTTGCTTTAAAGCTTTTCGTAATCCTTTTAGAAATTACGTTTCTCCTTTCAATATTATGTTTTATTCCCGTGCATTGGCTACATTGTCAATATTTTGAACAATCGAGTTGCCGAGGGAGAGCTGCGGTGTCGGATGTGGCTGTCGCCATGGCCAGGCATTAATCTTAAGCGCAGTGCCAGTCAGTCACCTGAGCAGCTCAAGGCGAGAGAAGCTAGCAAATACCCAAGAGTAGTGCCTTTTAGTGTTTGGATTTACCTGGCAACAACAGCAACAGCAACATGGACAATAATACAAACTACAAGCTGCAGGCGCCATAAGGAGTCATAAACCACTCAGTGGCCAAGTGAAAATACCGCAAATATTTGCCGTTAACCAACTCTACTGCAAATCTCACTCCAAGTACCTCAGCTCGGCTCTCAACAGTATCCCCCACTCTCGCAAGCTGGTTTATGTGCTTTACTCTTTCGCCTTTTGATATATGGCGTATGCGCCATCGCATCCACGCCTCTCCAAATAGCCTTTTACGGGGGATTGACGTAGAGATGGGCAAGGATCGTGTTTTTCTCTCGTGCAAGCCTAACCAATACAAAGAGTACGGTTGAGCTTCACACTCAATCCCAGCTGATCTTTTGTATGCCTCGCCTTAAAATCTTATATTTATTAAATAAACGAGTAAAAAACAACAAATAGTTATTTTGGAACGTGTCGGGATGGGCCGTGCCTTTAAAAATTGTTTACGTGCGAGTTTGAAAAAGTTAGTTTCATGTTCGCGTTGGGAAGTTTCGTCAAAACCCAGCCCGCGTCCATCACTAGTTTGGAGGCACCCTGTGTCACAGCCAGTGTTGGTTTGTGCGGGTAAAATCGAAAGTGCTGCCATTTATTTTATTGCCACCTCGGCGAGAGCCCTTGCGGCTGTGACTGCGGCTGCAGCTGCTTCGCTTGTCCAGGTGGACAGCTCGACAGCCACCCATCAGGCAATGAGTAAAAACTTTGAAAGCTGCCATAAAATAAACGAAAAAGCGAAAAAACGGAGTGACCCAAATGTTTGCGTTGTATTTTTACAGCATTTGGATTTGTGCAGCATTTCTTTCGGTTTTTATGACGCGATTTTTTCAAACGTAATTTGCTTGTCTAAATTGGGAATGGTCGGAGCAGTGTCAGCAAGGTTAAGCTACTCATCAGCTGCGGGTAATCCACACTTTTACCTACAACCCCGAAATCTCGCACTTGCCAGATAATTTTGGCCAAGCTGCTTGGCCGGCTCATCTCGGTCATTGGTTCGATGGTATTTCGAGTGGCAATTCCAGAAGTTGGCACTTAATGCGAAACACTCCTTGCCTCGACAGCTGTGCGGCATGCAGCTTAATTGAAAAGCAATGTTCTTACATAGTTTATGCTTAAAATACGATTACATTAATTTCACACACCACAAAACAGATGACAAAGTCAGCGCTGGGGACAACAAAACACAAAAGGGTTGTTCGCACCGGATCCTTGCTGTCCACAAGCTGACAGCAAAGGCTGCCAAGGTAGGCGAAACTTGTTGAGAAAACTCAAATGGACACACACACACAGTCCATCTTGAATGGAGACACGCCAACCACTCGAAAAGCCACTCAGTCAGGTGTTAAAACTAATTTACGACAATTTGACCAACGAACAACAATGGGAAGGAACCCTTGCCAGCTTGTGGGTGTGGCTGTGGCTATGGCGGCGCATGAACTGCTTCCCATATTTCACACATTGCACGAAAAGGGTGCAAATTGGGACAGCAGCAGCCACAAAGCATCCAAATCAAACGAAAGACATGTCCCTTGCAGAGCAACCCGCTCATCCTGAGGCAATCAACCAACCGAACTTATCCTATTTGCAGAGTCTGTTGTTTAACGCTGACATTTGTATCATCCAGTTATACGAATAAATAGGTTTCACTTTACTGCCCTGGTTTTGTAAAGAATTAATCGGCCCACTAAATGCGAAAGGTGAACGTTGAGTTACGCAAATAAATGCAATTCACTTTGGCCAAATTGTGCAGGCTCATTGCCAAATAATTTGTGTGTAATTAAAGCAGTTACGCCCCATTGACTGGCAGAAGGGAGGAGGTGGATTTGCGTTAATGATTGCTGCTGAAATTTCAAGGCGTTACAATTAGTATGTATTAATGTTGATAAATGAAGAAAATTTCGTTCTGCTAATTGGCAGTGCGGTATAAGGGCAAAAACCAGTGTTGTAAAACTAAAAACTACAGTTTTTTCTTCGATTGTTTTTATTGGGCTCCCACTTTTGTAGCAACCCAAGCTAACGTGGAATATACTATACTAAATATAAAAAATGAAGTAAAAAGCGACCGATTCAAAGCTACTTCCACTTTTCTACAGATAATTTTAAACTAGTATATGCACCACATTTCATTTTATTATTGCAACTTCAAACATTGAAACTCAATTAAAAAAGGCTACGTCTGTCACGATGACTGCCCCAATCACTGCACAGGTGTCGATCACAAACATCATCCTTAACAAAGGACTTGCCCAAAGTGCTTCTCAGCTCAGCGTCATAGTTGGCCTTCTCTTGAATAACCAATCTGTTCATCTGTTCGCGCCTAGCTGCTTGAGCTAACTTTTGTAGGCTCTGTAGCTCCGAG